AACCAAGCCCGGTCTAGCCTAACCTAAGCTTAAGCCGAAGTCTCACATGTAGAGGTTGTGGGGTCACAGAGTCCAAAACAGCTCAAAATTGGTGGAAAAATCAAATAAAATATAGGGAACAGGATGTGATAAAAATTAGCTGCCAATGGGCACTTTTGTTTAATAAACTTTTTATTTTAAGATTTTGTATGGAAAGCTACCTAGAATCGCGACCTGGATGGCCAAAACCGTTAGGCGCAGGGGAGAACTCTTGAAGTCATCCCAATCGCCACCTCCCGTCGGATTAGTGGTGTAGTGGTAAGGTGCAGGGGTGACAGGCCAGGGGGTGGAGGGTTCGGATCCCGTCAATATTTTTAATTTTTGCTTTTTGCTGTTTTCGCTTTTATTTTGCCGAGAGAGGGTCTAGAACGTGTTTTCGAAAGTTTTTCGGTCCTATAAATCCCTAGAAGTTGCCTAGGCAGAAAAATAAAATTTCGAAAATTTGGAAGTTTTGTAAAAAAGGTCTGCCTAGCTATCCCGGCTCGATGAAAACCAACTGAATAGTTAATAATAATTATTTTTGAACTAGAATTATAAAAATAGAATTATTCCGGCAATCTGAAATATCTCGGTGCTCAGATTTGAAGCGCCTAGGAGCCAGAACCACCTATTTTAAGCAGTTTCCAATTCTGCCAGGCTCCGGGGCCATAGGATAGGTCGTCAAATTTTTCATGAAAAAAATTTTTTTCAGATCAATTTTTTTCGGGTGAGGAAAGGTGTCTAGTGTCATGGCTGCTATGAAAATTCCATCAAAACATTTTTTCCAAGCCATAAGGCCCGATAAAGTGGCTAAAAGCGCATTTTAGGGAGCATTTTTTCCATTAAAATGAAAAGTTTATTAAACAAAAGTGCCCATTGGCAGATAATTTTTATCACATCGTTTTCCCCGTATTTTATTTGATTTTTCCACCAATTTTGAGCCGATTTGGAGTCTGTGACCTCACAACCTCTACATGTCAGCTAATTCTTGGCTAAGCCTAAGCTAGGGCTTGGCTAGGCTTAGGCGAAGCCTAAGCTAGGTCTCGTCTAAGCCAAAGCCAAGACAAGACCAAACCTAACCTAACCTCAGCCAAAAACATGTCTAAGCCTAAGCCAACGCTAAGTCTACGCGAAGGCTACGCAAAGTTAAAGCGAACTGCACCGTATAAGTTTAGCATTATGGGGCAGTATGAGACTACCTACCTTATGATCAGAATCTTGGATAAGACTAGCGGGTAATGCTCCTGAAAAAGCATGCATAGCGTCGTAAAAGCGGATGCGAATTGGCGACTTCCGAAGTGGGCCGTTGACACGTGATCCAAGTCAAACACCAACATCATCTGCTCCCATTCATGGCCAGTCTGCAATTTTCTGATTCGCTGGGCCCTTCCGTGTTTTATACGGGGGAAAGGGGCCCCCGATGAATGAATGTCCCACCTGGACCGCTCGCAGCTCGCAAAGTTTCATCCCTTTCTCAATAGCTGCTAACGAAAATTTGATGTAGTCCAGTGAAGCGACCGACTTCAGCATACCTGAACAAATCTGGGATGGGGCGAGTTTTTTTTTGAGACAAGGCATAGTTTCTAACAATCACCTTCCACATCGCAGTTTCCAAGCAGCGACATCAATATCGGATTGCCGTCTTTATCTGGCAGGAAACCATAGCCACAGTATTTTTCGAGGCACTAAAAGCACAATTTTTGCGTAAGGAATTTCTGCGAAACAGTTTTCTGCCGGGTTTTGTTCATTTTTCCTGAAAAGTTTGTTCCTCCTAAAAGTTTTTTTTTTCATTTCATATCATTCTTCGTGTTTTTATTGATACTTTTCCACTTCCAAGATAGCTAAATCTAGAGTAAACTCATTGTTTAAAAAATTTGCTATGACATTAGTAACACAGTAATTCGTTTTTCCGCGTATTGAAACCTCGGCATAATATCCACTCTTACGGGCCACCCTGCAGACTTTTCCCCCACGATACTTGGCTGCCATTTTGCCTCCATCACAGACACATTAGGTATGTTCCTCGGAGGTGCGGAGATTAGGATCTCTCGCGCCCAAAAGGGGCCACGTGATTCAAGATATGAATCAGGGTCATCGTGGTTGCGAAATGCCTAAAAGCGCCGTTTGTGAGCCGCCCGATCAAGGCTTGGCACCGTTGTTGTTTTGGCGCCATCTGGAAGAGCAGGGTCGAATTAGTAGGGTGGCGCTATTTTGAGAATTTTAAAAGGCCGTCCGCGGGTCACCCGAACGGACCCCAATATGGCTTGGCACAGTTTTTTTCGACCCCACTTTTTTGACGCCATCGGATAGAGCATGGTCGAATTAGTGGGACTGCATAGTTTTGAAAGTTTAAAAAGTTTAATTTGGGGGTTTAAATGGACGTTGAAGTTGCAGACCCCCAAAAATTATCTTGGAAGTTACTTAACCAAATTCGCTGAAAATTTGTGCCAATACCTAATTTTGGACGGGGATCATTTCTCTAATACATTGCAAAGCGTGAAAATGGCCGGAACATAGGAATCTCGCGTACACAAAACAGTTTTTGGAGTTTTTCGTTGTGAAGGGTTGTTGGCTGCGCGCTGTAAATAGCATAGAAAGATGCGCAAAAACTTTCTGCATCGAATGGTGTATTATTTAGCGCGCAGACAGTAACCCTTCATATTCAAAAAACGCGATTTTTAAACGGCAGAAAAGCTGTAACGTACTCCCAGGTTCGCGGATATTTTTGAAAAATCGGAAACGAGGGATGGGGTCTAAAGATAAAACCGCACGATTGCAAAAAGAGCAAAAAGAAATTCCCTTCCCACTTGACCTGAGATTTGCGGGGATCGAACCCGAGGGTCGTTCGCCTTGGGGGCACTGGGGGCGCCCACTGAGCGGCCGCCCCCATGTCCCAGGCGAACGACCCGAGTTCAATCCCCAGCCCCCTCAAAAGACGAATTTCTTTTTGCTCTTTTTTTGCGATCGTGCGGTTGGACCCTCTAGATGGGAGTCCATGTTTGATTTTTCATAAATATTCAATCGGATTTCTTTTCTACCCTATAAAAGCTTTTTTCAAAATGAAGGGTTACTGTCTGCGCGCTAAATGATACACCATTCGATGCAGAAAGTTTTTGCGCATCTTTCTATGCTATTTACAGCGCGCAGCCAACAACCCTTCACAACGAAAATCTCCAAAAACTGTTTTGTGTACGCGAGATTCCTATGTTCCGGCCATTTTCACGCTTTGCAATGTATTAGAGAAATGATCCCCGTCCAAAATTAGGTATTGGCACAAATTTTCAGCGAATTTGGTTAAGTAACTTCCAAGATAATTTTTGGGGGTCTGCAACTTCAACGTCCATTTAAACCCCCAAATTAAACTTTTTAAACTTTCAAAACTATGCAGTCCCACTAATTCGACCATGCTCTATCCGATGGCGTCAAAAAAGTGGGGTCGAAAAACAGACTGTGCCAAGCCTAGTTCGGGTGGCTCGCAAACGGCCTTTTAAACGTTCAATTTCGGCGTTAAATAGGCCAGGAAAGTTGCTGATTTCAAGAAAATTATCGAGGAAGTGATTGGACGAAATTCGCTGAAAATTGGTGTCTACGCGTAATTTTGGACGCTGATCATTCCTCTAATACATCTCGAAACACGAAAATGACCGGAAAATGGTTAAATCACGTGCTGGAAATGGTTCTCCCGGAATCCCAAAAAACGGCCTTTCTTCTTTCTTTTGCGAAATTCGACATTTTGTATTTTTGGGTTTTGGGCAGCATTTTTGACGGGTTTTTGGCGTATAAAACGCGTTATAGCAAGAAGAGGGTAGCTGGTTGCCGGGTAAACGACACAGGTATTGACGTAAAAAAATATGGCGCATCTTTCTACGCTATTTTGATGCAGCGCAAAAGCGACATTTTTTATGGATTCCGGGAGAACCATTTCGAGCACATAATTCGGTCATGCTCTTTCACGTGGCGTCGAAAAAATGGGGACTTTGCGTATGGCTCGCGGACGGCCTTAGAAGCACTTCATTACACCCCTTCCGGCAACTTCAGGATTCTCCAAGCCATCTTCATGGGGGGCAGAAAGAGGAGGTGGCTGTTTTCTTCACGGGCGCTGCATTTGACAACGCCTGAACTGCAGGATTCCTATTGCGCGCCCCAATGACCGTAACCCACGGCCCTGGGTTTACGCCGCGTGATGGCTCCCAAAACCCAAAACAAAGGCTAAGGCTTGCAAAACATATTTCTTTGTTAGTTTTAATAAATATTTATTGAAAACAAAGTGTGTAACAACAATTTTAACAAGGAAAATCATAATAACTAGGGGTTAGCATAACCCTAACAAAGGCTGGGCAGGTGAAAAGCCGACATCTAAAGTGGACATCTAAACAAAACAAATTATTCTATAAATTCGATCTAATAAATTTATTCTAGGCGCTGTGTAGGCGTTATATGCAAAGAAGAAAAATGATGAATGTGCAAAATTGCACTAAATGCAAACGAAGGCGGCGAAAAGAAAGCTCAACCCCTAGTTATTATGATTTTCCTTGTTAAAATTGTAGTTACACACTTTGTTTTCAAAAAATATTTATTAAAACTAACAAAGAAATATGTTTTGCAAGCCTTAGCCTTTGTTTTGGGTTTTGGGAGCCATTACGCGGCGTAAACCCAGGGCCGTGGGTTACGGTCATTGGGGCGCGCAATAGGAATCCTGCAGTTCAGGCGTTGTCAAATGCAGCGCCCGTGTTTTCTTCAGCATGTGCCTGTTTGACCTGACTCGACACAGCGCGCCCCGCACATTCTCCCCCTCCTCAGCCGTTGTGTCGCTGTCCTTGAGATGAAAAACGGAGACACGCCGGTGGAGCAGGAGAGGGGCAGGGGGCATTGATCTGCGAGCTCTCGTCCTCCATCTAGCCCTGTCCACTCACAGAATCGGGGTGTGTGGAAAGTACTGACAATCTACGGTGTGACCAACAGATTCTGGAAAACGATGGGTCAGTTACAAAGGCTGCCCAAAAAAACCCCTCGGCATTTGGCCGACTTCTATCGGATCAGGATCAAATTTTTACCAGCGATGGGGACCCAAAAAAACTATGTGCACCCGAATTTTCTAAGCATAATATTGTAAAACAAAAAAAAGTTATATCGAAATTAAGGTTTATTTTGCCGATTTCGCTAGGATTTTGACGGATTTGGACCTCGAAATGTTTAAAATTAAATGCGCGCCTTTTCCACCCGAAGAAATTTTTTGATTGACGAAATTTTCCTCTAAATAGGGCTTTTCACCACTTTTTGTTATCACAATTGGCTGAAACCGACCCGCAATGACCATTTTTCGGATAATTACTCAAAATGTTTGAGCCTTGGCCCACCTCTGGCGCTTCCCATTCTTCGATGCAGTCGAGCTCCCAGGCTTTACGGAAAATGACGTGTTTCTTCAAGGAGTCGGCCGTCTCGTCGAAGCTAAATCGTCGAATTTCCATTGTCAAGAAACAGGCCCACCGTCCATTCTTCGATCGCAACCACCGCAACACGTAGCTATCGCTGAGAGGCTTGATCTCAGGAAGGATCGTGCTGAAATCAGACTAGATAAGTCGGTGGGGGATGGGGAGAATTGGCTGAAAATTTGCACACAGCTAGAATCGACGACGCTGATCATCACCTCGTTCTCCGAATTTGCTACTGAGCTTTAAAAATCGAGATATTTAGGTTTTAGTGTCAGTTTTCACCCACGAGACTGGTTTCTCCATCGTGCCGTTCTTTTTTTTCTAATTTATTTGAAGTAACCGATTTCATAGAGAATTTTATCCTGATTCGAATGGTGTATCATTACAATCGGCCGGGAAGTTCAAAATAATTGAGGTCGAAGTTTGCCGATTTTAACCAAAAGATCTGTTTAAAAGTGGCATATCTCGAGTTTTAGAGATCAGTAGCAAATTTGGAGAACGAGGTGATGATCAGCGTGGTCGATTCTATCTGTTTGCCGATTTTCAGCCGATTCTAGTCCGGGTAAGAGCAAAATTGATTGGCACGAAGCACTTGCTGTTGGTGGTCTGCCAAAGCTCAGGTTTTTTTTGGTGAAGAAGCACGCTGCTGGACACCTGCGATACCCGAAAACTAAGCCGACTGACCGCAAATCACGAATAGCCGTCTTCTCTTCAGAATCGGGTGGCAGTCTGTTCATCGTCTTGGAGGGGGTTTTTGCTGGAAAAATGGGAAGATGCTTTTAAGAAATGGGGTGGTGGGACGGTTCGAGGACAAGCGAAAGTGAAAGCGCGTTTGCGAAACACAGCACGTAGATGGCCTAAAAATAACGGCATGTTGAAAGTGTCAACACACGTCCATTCGGCTCTTAACGAAGCCAGAAGCCTATATTTCTTAGCCTTCTCGAGTCCGTGCAGCGATAGGCAGATTTCTAGAGTTCCAAAATCGATTGCTACCACAAAAACTCTGGTTAAAAATCTCTGAAAACTGCATGAAAAATTCACAAAAACTAATTCTGTAAAAAACGCGCCGCCTGAAAGTTACAGGCATCCCAGCCAAGTTGCTAATCAGGGTAACCAAAAAAAAAATTAATTATCCTACCACAGAGTATCCCAAAAAACCGTCCCTCGGCATTACCAGCGGCGGGGACCCATCAAAACTATGTGCAACGGAATTTTCAAAGCAAATAATACTAAAACAAAAAATTTAAGCAAAAAAAAAACTGATTTTTGGGAAACGCTGGTACTAATTTTTTCGCAATTATCATGACGATTTTGTGTAATTTACCGATTTCTGTCAATTTTGATCAGAAAAAGCGATCAAAAGTCCCAATTTAGACGTCATTTTCGTAAATCGAACCTCCGGGTGGAAAAAAGTGCCCGCTCATTTTTGCTAAACATTTTGAGGTCCAAATCCGTGGAATTCCTCCTGAAATCTGCAAAATAAACCTTAATTTCAACACAACTTTTTTGTTTTACAATATTCCGCTTAGAAAATTTGGCTGCACATAGTTTTGATGGGTTCCAAACCAATAGAAGACGGCCAAATGCCCAGCGGTTTTTGAGCCAACTTTGTATAGGGTTTCCCGATGTGTGAAAATTATGCGTGGCGGCCCAGCTTGACCAGTTATTGGCACGGCTAACCCAGGAAAGGAGCAATGAATGGCCATTGTGAAGCAGCGAGACTGAATCGAGGCTGTACTGGGGGTGGGAGGGTAGTGTCTGTCTGTCTATCCGTCTGTCCGTCCGTCCGTCTACACCTTGTTCTTCGTCTCTTATTTCCTCTGCATCGCGCTGAATCTATCTTTTATATGGGCGGTCTCCGCAGTGACATAGTTCCACCCTCCACCCATCCATATCCGCCTCCAATGCCCCGGGTTGTCAACAATAGCATTGCGAAAGTTCATGCTCCTCTGTTTTCTTAGCAGCCAATTTCTCATCGAAGAATATGGTCGATGGGTAAAGAACGGGCTTCAGGTCCTAAATTTTGAAGAATCAACAGTGGTGATAGGTCAAATTGCCCCCGCCCCGCCAGCCAAAGCTTCCCAAATATTTTTTCGCTCAAACTTTTTTATGTTGCTTTATTTGGAGCTGGAATGAAAACGATTAGTATATTTTTTAATGCTCTATCGTATAGCGGAGCGAAAATCCCGACAAATTAGCAGAAACCTCGAAAAATTTTGGGACCCCCGGCCTGGGGATGGGGTAAAGTAACGTCTAGCCTGGTGGGGTTTCTTTAAAAATGTCGAATTCAGAGTGTCGAAATGCCATAATGTCGAAATTCAAAATGCCGAAATTTTGCATAAGCTAGTTTTCTCGGAAAAACCCCAAACCCGGTGCAAAAAATATTCGACATTATTACATTTTGACCGTATGAATTTCGGGGGGTTTAATTAATCAACCACCGGAAGGTACGTATTTTAGAAACATTCTGACGGCCCCGTAGTCAGTGCGGCCAATCCCTCCATCGATTACCGAGAAACAAACCTGATCCTTTCAGGAAGAAAAATTGGCATTCGATGACCATCGCCGGCCATTCGCGGCTTCACGCGTCTCACTTCCGTCTCATCTCTCCGTCTATTTTTCTGTGAAGCTGCTTGTCCGTGGCGAAGAAGCGGTGATTGCCTGGAAAAGATTGGCAGAGAAGTAGACAGGTCCGGTCACGAACCGCTATTCAGCCGGCGGGCGTTGTTGAGTCGCTGTAGATTGCGGTGCCCGATTCCTGAAAATAAAGTTACCAATATTCGATAAAAAACAAAGCCGTTTGCGGATGCGGTGTGCAAGGCAGCGGCCAGGTCCCTCAGCGCATCGATCGACTTGAATCATCCGCGCGTCATCTGCCATTCCATCGTCCGTCTTTTCTGGAGTCGAGCGTATCCTAAAACAAATGGAGTAAAATCACACAATACGCAACTCTTCTCCCCAAAGCCAAATTTTCTCTAATAAAAAGTTCATGGCCTGGAAAGGGCGCCTAGAAAAGAGGTTCATTGGAGCTGCTGGCATTAGCCCAAACAGTGGCGTGAGGATCTTGAATCAACAAAAGTAAAAACGAGTGAGCATCAAAAGTTAGGCGGCAGCAAGAAATTACAAACGACCCAGAAACTAAGCCAAATCCATATTTCTTGAAGTTTCGCACCCGAGCTCACCTATAAAAAACTGCGGCGTGCCCTTAGTGCAAAGAGTGGCCGGCGGGTGTGTCGTGTCGACGGCTTAGGCTTAGGCTTAGGCTTAGGCTTAGGCTTAGGCTTAGGCTTAGGCTTAGGCTTAGGCTTAGGCTTAGGCTTAGGCTTAGGCTTAGGCTTAGGCTTAGGCTTAGGCTTAGGCTAGGCTTAGGCTTGGGGCTAGGCTTAGGCTTAGGCTTAGGCTTGGGCTTAGGCTTGGAGCTTAGGCTTAGGCTTAGCTAAGGCTTAGGCTTGAGGGGCTAGGCTTGGAGGGGGGCGGAAGCAGGGCTTGGGCCTGGGCTTGAGCCCAGGCAGGGCCCAGGCTGGAGCTGGGGCAGGAGGCTTGGGCCTGGGGCGGGCCAGGCAGGTGGCTGGGAGCCCAGGCTTGGGGGCCAGGCTTGGGCTGGGCAGGACAGGCTTGGGCTTGGGCTTGGAGCTTGGAGGCAGGCTTGGGCGGAAGCTTGGGCAGAGCTTGGCCAGGCTAGGCTTGGGCGGGCCAGGCTTGGAGGCTTGGGCCTTGGAGGCTTGGGCTAGGCAGGCCTTGAGGCCTTAGGCCAGGCAGGCTTGGAGCAGGCAGGCTTGGGCTTGGGCTTGGGCTTGGAGGCTGGAAGCCCAGGCTTAGGCTTGGGGCAGGCCCAGGCTTGGGCTTGGGCTTGGAGCCCAGGCGGAAGCGGGCAGGCTTGGAGGCGGAAGCTTAGAACGGAGGCAGGCCAGGCTTGGAGGCTTGGAGGCTCGGACAGGCAGGCTTGGGCTTGGAGCAGGCTTGGCGGAGCTTGGGCGCAGGCTGGAGGCCAGGCTTGGGGCTTGGAGGCCCAGGCTGGGGCCAGACCCGGAGGCGGGCAGACGGAGCCCAGGCAGGCCCAGGCCAGGTGGTGGGCTGGAGGCGGGCAGATGGGTGGAGCGGAGCTGGGCTTGGCAGGCTTGGAGCCAGGCTTGGAGCCAGGCAGGCTTAGCCAGGCTTGAGGCTTGGGCTTGGAAGCCCAGGCTTGGACAGCATGCGGAGGCTTAGGTGAGCTTGGAAGCAGGCTTGGGCAGGCTTAGCGGCCCAGGCAGGCTTGGACGCGGGAGGCGGAGCTTGGGCCCAGGCTGGCCCAGGCTTGGGCTTGGGGCTTGGAGGCTTGGAGCTTGGGCTTGCAGGCCAGGTTGGAGGCGCAGGCAGGCTTGGAGCTTGGCAGGCAGGCTGGGCCCAGGCTTGGAGCCAGGCTTGGGGCTTAGGCTTAGGCAGGCTTGAGCATTGGGGCTGGAAGCTTGGGCAGCCCAGGCAGGCTCAGGCTCGGGCTTGGGCTTGGGCCCGGGCTTGGAGCTTCGGGCTTGGAGGCAGGCAGGCTTGGAGCGGGCTTGGCAGCTTGGGCTTGGGCAGGCTGGGAGACCAGGCTTGGAGCTTGGAGCTTGGACTTGGATGGGCTTAGGTGAGCTGGTAGGCAGGGCTGAGGCTTGGAGCCGCAGGCTTAGGCTTAGGCTTGGGCAGGCTTGGGCCTGGGGCCAGGCTGGGCCAGGCTGGAGGCAGGGCCAGGCAGGAGGCTTGGAAGCCAGGCAGGCTTGGAAGCAGGCTTGGGCTTGGGCAGGCTTGGGCTTGGGCTTGGACTTGGGCAGGCTGGGCTGGACAGGCTAGGAGCCCTAGGGCTTGGGCTTGGGCTGGAGGCTTGGAGACGGGCCGGGCAGGCGGGCGGAGGCTTGGACGGAGCCCAGGCTTGGGCTTGGGCCAGGCAGGAGCCCGGAAGCAGGCTTGGGCCCAGGCCCAGGCTTGGGGGTGGGGCAGGCAGGCTTGGAAGCGGACTGGCTTGGAGGCAGGCGTAGGCTTGGGGCTAGGCTGGAGCAGGCTTGGGCAGGCTTGGAGGCAGGCTTAGGCTTGGGCTAAGGCTTGGACCAGGCTTGGGCTAGCAGGCTTGGAAGGGCTTGGGGCTTGGGCTTGGAAGCAGGGCTTGGGGCTTGGCCCAGGGCTTGGAGCAGGCTTGGAGGCTTGCAGGCTTGGGCTTGGAGGCTTGGAGCCAGGAGGCCCAGGGCCCAGGGCTTGGGCGGGGCAGGCCTTGGCTTAGGCTGGAGGCGGGGGCCCAGGCAGGTGGGCTGCGGAGCGCAGGCCCAGGCTTGGGCGTTGGAGCCGGGCTTAGGCTCAGGCCCGGACAGCCAAACAGGCCAGGCTTGGAAGCGGAGGCTTAGGCTTGGGCGGCAGGCCAGGCAGGCGTAGGCAGGCTTGGGCCCAGGCTTGGAGCGGGGCTTGGAAGCGGAGGCAGGCTTGGAGCGGGCAGGCTGGTGGGCTTAGGCTTGGAGGCTAGGCTTGGAAGCAGGCTTGGGCTTGGCAGGGCTTGGAGCCAGGCGGCCCGGCAGGGGCTTGGGCTTAAGCAAGGAGGCAGGCTTGGGGAGCAGGCTTGGAGCAGGGCAGGCTTGGGGCCCAGGCAGACCCATGCAGGCTTGGAGGCGGCTTAGGCAGGCCTGGGCTTAGGCTTGGGCTTAGGCAGGACAGGCTTGGGCTGGGCAGGCTTGGAGCTGAGGCTTGGACCAGGCTTGGGCTTGGAGGCTTGGTGGCTTGGGCTTGGAAGCAG